TTATTTTCAGTATTGATCTCATCCTCTCCTACTATATAAAGGAGAGCTTCCTACATCATGAGAATACTAGCATTTGACTTGGGCTAATATCTAGATTATCCTTTTCCAGTGAGTCACCCACAAGAGAACTTCTCTCCCCCATCTTTATATGAAGTCCCAGGCCACCTTCCCACCCCTAACACAGACTACTGTAGCTAAAAGGTGAGTTATAAGTATTGGCTAAGCCTGGACCATGTTACCTTTCAAGGGCCTTTAGTACTGTGGTTACTTGGTACTAATGGTTAGCAACCTTACCCAGATTAGCATCAGAGAGGGCTTAACCAGCAGCTCCTCTGCTTTTGCCAAATAGGATGTTGCTCAGCTGTGTCACTTGGCTTTTCTTTCTCCCCAAGGTCGGCCGCTTGTAGACATGCCCAGCTCCATTGAGGACACTTGTAAAACCAAAAATCTTGAACACTTGTTCAAGGATGTGTGGAGTAGAAGAGGCCCCAGAACTGTAGCTGGTGGGCAAGCACCCATCAAGACCCTGAACCACAACTATCATTAGTGATACCTCTGTCATATCTGTTTCCCTATCAGCACACCCCTACTTGCATTTTAAGCCACTGTACTTCCTAAGGCTTTATTAAGTCATAACTTGGATGAAGCACCTCCTCTTTTTCTGCCTTGCCTTTTTTTTTTTTTTTTAAGATTTTTCATTTATCTATTTGACAGACAGAGATCACAAGTAGGCCGAGAGGCAGGCAGAGGGAGGAAGGGAAGAAGGCTCCCTGCTGAGCAGAGAGCCTGATGCGGGGCTCAATCCCAGGACCCTGGGATCATGACCTGAGCTGAAGGCAGAGGCCCTAAACCACTGAGCCACCCAGGAGCCCCCTGCCTTGCCTTTTTAAATATACTTTGGTTCATTTAGTGGCCATCAAGTGGTGGTTGGAAGGAGGAGAGCTGGTTTAACCTTCTCATCCTAAGCCTTAGGAATCTGGTATCTGGTCCCAAATGCTCAGAGATTTCATGAATATGGATTTCTCAGTTCTTCAACTGATACAGTTCTGCATTAGAAATAGGATCACTCAACAAAATGCCTATTAACACTCCACCTCCTTTTAAATTCCTTCAAACATCTTATATTCATGCTTATTTTTATTTTTTATTTTATTCTTAGTAAAAATTATATATATTTAAAGTATACAACATAATTTGATATATAAATTAAGAAAATAATTCCATTCACTATAGCATCAAAAATTGTCTAAATTCCATGAAAAAGGTGTGTACACTTGAATGTATCAAATATTGCTGAAAAGAGAGAAATTACTAAGTAAATGGAGAGACATTTCATGTTCATGGAGTGGGAAACTCAATATTGAGCAAATTGGTCTGTAAGTTTAATGCCATTCCTTCAAAATCCCAATAGCTTTTTAAATAATTTGATAAGCTGATTCAAATTTTATATGAAAATGCAGAAGACCTAGTATAATCAAAACAATTTTGAAGGAACAAAGTAATTACACTCTCTGATTTCAAAATATATTAAAAATTGTTCAGCGCTGTCATGGCGGATTTGCTGAAGAAGACCACCGGCCTTGTGGGATTGGCTGTATGTGAGAGTCCACACGAGGGGCTAAGAATATTGTACACAAAGATTCTTGATGTTCTTGAGCAAATTCCTAAAAATGCAGCATATAGAAAGTACACAGAACAGATTACAAATGAGAAGCTGAGTATGGTTAAAGCGGAACCAGATGTTAAGAAATTAGAAGACCAACTTCAGTGCGGCCAACTAGAAGAGGTTATTCTTCAGGCTGAAAATGAACTAAGTCTGGCAAGAAATATGTTACAGTGGAAACCATGGGAGCCTTTAGTGGATGAGCCTCCTGCCAACCAATGGAAATGGCCAATATAATCATCATTAAATGATTAGTGTGTTGATGGGAAATGGATGTAATTAAATGTTCTGTTATATTAAAAATGTTTCTATATTATTGACAACTTATAATCAAGAAAACTAAAAACATATATATATATTAAAAATTGCAGTAATCAAGACATGGTGGTATTGTCATATCAGTAGGCATATAGTTCAATAGAAGAAAATTGAGACCCCAGACCTAAAACCTTCTATTTATGGTTAATTGATTTTCATGAAGGTATTGAGACAATTCAGTACAGAAAGAATTGTCTTTTTAATAAAGGATACCAGGATAATTACATATCTATAGTCAAAAAAATCATAACTTAGACCCTTACCTCAACACACACACACACACAGTGGACCATGGATTTAAATGGAAGAGTGAAAGCTGTGAAACTTCTAAAAGAAAACAGGTGGAAATCTTTGTAAACTTGGATTAGGGAAAGAGTTTTTAAACATATCAAAAGCATTATCCTTCAAAGATAATATTGATATATCAGACTCTACTTGCATTTCAAAAGACACCATTAAACTATGAGATGCTATTTTACAATCAATAGGATAGCTAAAATTTTAGAAACAGGCTATATACCAAGTATTGGCAAGAATAAGTAGAAATTGGTACCCTTATACATTGCTATGGGGTTGTAAAACGATTGCAACTACTCTGGAAAACAATTTGGCTGGTCCTCAAAATGACAAACATAAAGATACCATATGACCCAGCAATCCCATTCCTTGGTACATACCTAAGAGAAATGGAAATATATGTCCACACAAAACTTGTATACAAAATGTTCATAGCAGCATGATTCATAATACCCAAAAAAGTAGAAATGATATAAATATTAATCAGTTGATGAGTGAATAATTCATTCATTCATTCATTCATTCAACTGATTTATTTCAAAATCTGAAATATCCATGTTATAGAATATTGCTCAGCCATAAAAAGAATGAAGTATTTATTCATGCTCTAACTTCAATGATCCTTGAAAACATTATACCGAGTGAAAGAAGCCAGGTGCAAAAAAACTACATATTTTATTATTCCATTTATATGAAATGTCACAGAAAATTTTATAAAGACAGAAAACAAATCAGTAGTTGCCTGGGACTGGGGGTAGGAATAGGCATAAGAAAACTTTTTAGGATGATGTAAGTGTTCCAAAACTGAATGGTGGTGATAGATACACAACTGTAGAAATTTAAGACAAATCACTGATTTATGAATTTACAATTTACGGTAGGTAAATTATAGGTCACTAGAACTGTTAAATAAGTCAGTAATGGGATCTTGTTAAAAACTGAAAAAATAAAAGTAGACGGACCCACAATAAGGAGCATTGGCAATAGAGAACGTCTCAAACAGCATCATCAAGAAAATACTCTTGGGTGGTGCCCACAGCCCCCTTGCAAAATAATTGTAAGTGGACAAAAAGGAAAGAAACCACTCTTCTAAAAGTCATTCCAGATATTTACTATCACGTTAAAAAGGAACCAGGTGGTGAGTATTAGAGAGGGCACGGAATGCATGGAGCACTGGGTGTGGTGCAAAAACAATGAATACTGTTACGCTGAAAAGAAATTTAAAAAAAAAGTGACAGGTACAAATAGTGATCAGCTACAATATTTATCTTCTCAAAATCACATTTGTTTCACAATATCAAAATGCTTCCACAACTGACGACAGATAAGATACTCTCCATAGAAAGGGTGAAAATAATGGGAATCCTCTTTGTCTGATACACTGTTTTATTTTGTTCTGGCTTTAAGCTTTAATTTATGTTTTGCTAATGTGCTTCTAAATTCTGTGCAGTTGGCCACACTATCTGCTGAGAAAGAAAAGAGTAACACATGAATTGAGTAAATTATTGTTTTCTTTGTGTATTATGTCACACGATTAGAACTAGAGTGACTCGCAGAAACATTAGTCCATAGTCTTTACTGAAGAGTCTGTATCTCACCATCCGTGCATGAAACTACAAGAGGTTGATTTACTTTCAGAAGAAATCAACCGGAAATTTCTAATGAGCCTTGATTTAACTCACTTGATACACAGCACAAACAGAAAGACATTTCACTTTTAAGGACAATTATAAACACAACACACGCTATTATAGTCATTAAATCACTGATTTTTTTTATGGTAAGATTGGAATGCAAGCAAGTAAAACAATTTATCTTTTTTTATCATTTTTTTATTTATTTTCAACATTACAGTATTCATTGTTTTTGTACCACACCCAGTGCTCCATGCAGTCCGTGCCCTCTCTAATACCCACCACCTGGTTCCCCCAACCTCCCACCCCCCCACCTCTTCAAACCCTTCAGATTGTTTTTCAGAGTCCATAGTCTCTCATTGTTCACCTCCCCTTCCAATTTCCCCCAAATGCCTTCTCCTAACTCCCCATGTCCTCCAAGCTATTTGTTATGCTCCACAAATAAGTGAAACCATATGATAATGGACTCTCTCTGCTTGACTTATTTCACTCAACATAATCTCTTCCAGTCCCATCCATGTTGCTACAAAAGTTGGGTATTCATCCTTTCTGATGGAGGCATAATACTCCAAAGTGTATATGGACCACATCTTCCTTATCCATTCGTCCGTTGAAGGGCATCTTGGTTCTTTCCACAGTTTGGCACCGTGGCCATTGCTGCTATAAACATTGGGGTACAGATGGCCCTTCTTTTCGCTACATCTGTATCTTTGGGGTAAATACCCAGTAGTGCAATTGCAGGGTCATAGGGAAGTTCTATTTTTAATTTCTTGAGGAATCTCCACACTGTTCTCCAAAGAGGCTGCACCAACTTGCATTCCCACCAACAGTGTAAGAGGGTTCCCCTTTCTCCACATCCCCTCCAACACATGTTGTTTCCTGTCTTGCTAATTTTGGCCATTCTAACTGGTGTAAGGTGATATCTCAGTGTGGTTTTAATTTGAATCTCCCTGATGGCTAGTGATGATGAACATTTTTTCATGTGTCTGATAGCCATTTGTATGTCTTCATTGGAGAAGTGTCTGTTCATATTTTGCCCATTTTTTGATATGATTATCTGTTTTGTGTGTGTTGAGTTTGAAGGCTGGGCTATTTCCATAGTCTCAATAATACTCCACCACTCGTTTTCTGCCAAAGCAATGACTATCCTAAGGAGAAGAAAATCTACCAAAGAAGAGGATGCTGTTGGATTCCTGGTGCTTGATGAAGAATAGGAAAGGGTGATTGCAATGAAAATGTTCACAACCTGGCGCTGAGGTGAGAGCAAAGCCCACACCGGTGGCTGCCGAAGACTCAGTGCCTTCCTCGGTTACCACCACGAAGGACCTGTGCAGGAACTTCTGCGCGTGCAGCCTGGAGTGTGAGGACATCCCAGGATAGTCAGCTCTGCACACGCTGAAGACTTCCCCCATCCCCATGGCTGACAAGACGGCCTCCAGATCATAACCATCCTCCACTTCAAACCGGGGCAAGTGCAATATCACATTCCTTTCTTTCATATGCCCAGGGCTTGTCCACTCTATTAATTTTTCTGGAGTTATTTGATCTATAATCTATTAAGAAAAAAGGGGAGGGGAAAGTGATACATTATCAATACAAAGTTGAAACACTGCAACACTGATTTATATCAGAAATTATTAATTTTAATAATGAATAAAAATAGAAATTTTATTTCACTAGACTCTTGTCTTTATATAGCAGGCACTTGACTTATACTTCTTTATTTAAATTATCTGTGTATATGTGAGAAACGCCTGGGTGGCTCGGTTGGTTAAGCGGCTGCCTTTGGCTCAGGTCATGATCCCAGCATCCTAGGATCGAGTCCCACATCGGGCTCGTTGCGCGCCAGGGAGCCTGCTTCTCTGTCTCTGCCTGCCACTCTATCTGCCTGTGCTCACTCGCTCGCTCTCTCTCTCTGACAAATAAATAAATAAATAAATAATCTGTGTATATGTGAGAACTCAATAGTATTAAATGCATTTTTAAAGATGAGAAATGAGTTCTTATTCTATCTATCTAATATATATCATTTCATTTTTTACTGTTCCCCTGTAGTCTTTTATGAATATATGATATAGTTTATTATATTAGTTGTATATTTATATGAATTATATATAACTAAAATGTTATAATTAAAATAATTTATATATTATATATTTTTTACATAGTTGCAATCTCTTTGAATGTCCATGCTATTTGTTTAAATGTAAACTTTTCACAAGCCTGTATCTCTCCTGAATATCTTCAAACTGGTAGATAAATCCATCAAGCTCATAAATTTTGCCAAATATTCATCCATTCACTTTACAGTCTTCTAGTATGTATCCAGCATGATAG